TTTATAGCCTAAATCAGGAACTTCGGACTGAATGCCATAAACAAAAATAAAATTTTTTTCACACAACTTATTGTGTGCATAGTAAGTAGTGCAAAAGGTGACGGTGAAGTTGTATGAATGATTCCTGCTAATTTCCAGAGCCGATTTCGGTATATTTGTTGTGAAAGATAAGAAAAGAATCTAGTTTCTGTGTAATTCATGGATGTTTGATAATGTTTCTACCTTTCAAAGGAAGTTTCCCATTATATCATATAATAATGGAATAGTAGAATGCCAAAAAAGGTCTTTAAATTACACTATGTTGATAAGCAACCTACCTCATGTTCCAACATCGCATACTCGCCCTCTGTATTTTGTCTTATTATAGCAATATCAATATTTTCCTGTCGGGCAGGCACACCAGGATACGATTTGCAATGGAGTATATTTACATACAAATCTAACCCGTTTCTAATGGCTACATTTCTTGATGCTACTCCAGCGCTTTCACTTTTGGTTTCAATATTGCCTTTGATTGCTACACCGTTTCGTTTAATGGAAGTTATTGCATAATCCAAATCTGTGTTATCATCACTGTCATCATTTACAGGATGGATGTCAATAACTTCAAAATCGACGGGAGCTCCTGCGTATTTGAAGACTTCCCTTACATACCCCATTAACTCAGGGCCGATACCACTCCCTGGGAGCATAGAAACTGCATTCCGGCCTCCATATAATGCCATAGGAATAGGAGTCTTGAAAAGTAAGAAAGTATTTATTTAAAGACAGTTTTTTAATTATTTCTATCTCAGAAATGATATGACATACAAGGTTGGTGAAATTAGTCAAAAGTAGGGAATGGTAGGGCTCATTATGTTTTTTATGGAGAGAACGAAATACATATGTTGTGATACATAGCTGAATTTTTGATGATATAGGCTACTGAAATTGATGAAAGAACTAAATGAAAATATGATCATACCAGATTGTGAATTAGACTGATTAAAAAAAATCCTGTGAAAGCCACAGCCCTCAATATCAAGATATCCTGCTTGGTAAATTTCAATTTCACTTATGATTAACATAGGAAAGTTGTTTTTTTTTGAGTTTATAATTTTATAACTCTTCAATGGTTCACCAAAAAG